ATAGGAGGAAAAAAGCTGTCATTAGTTGGAGTAATGCCGGATCTCCAGCGCGTGTTTGACCTACACAATCAAGAAAAACATATCAACATTCAACAAAACCGTCTACACAAAACTTTGTATTACAACACATATTTGTTTGCAATAACAATGTTTTTGCTTTCCGAGCCCGAAACACGTACACAAATCCCCACCGCGCGGGTCGGGTATTGTAAAAAAGTTTCATCTGCCATTTTTTTGGCAACTCGCTAGCTGGAGCTTCGTTCCAAACCTACGCTCCGAGTATAACTTTTCACTCTGACGTTTCAATTTCAACACAATGTACGAAGCTTTTGTAAAATTTGACATTAGTTGCACCTGGATCGTAGTTTTTTAACGTATCCCAGTGCATTTTGTGTACGACTGCCAAGTGAGCAGTAGACGGCGTGAGTAGAGAAACATGTTTCAGAAACAAAGTTTTATGAATGTGTTTTTGTTCAATGTTTTCAAAAAGCTTTTGCTGAAGACCCGGCTTCACGGCAACAATACTATACGGCCAATGACACAAAACTTAGTCTTCGTTGTTCGGAACTAACTGGTTTTCGTTAATGGTTGTGGAACATAAGCACAACAAAATAAGTACCTAGTCTTATTTGGCTGCAGTCTTCTGTAAGTTCATGGATATCTACTTCTGCAGATAATACTACAATTGGAACGGATATGTTTCTCTTGAGAAGGTGATAATATTTATTGAATCATTACAAAACTCGATATCAAAGACTAGACCAAAGATATGGTATCTAATGTATTTATATGAGATAAAAGTAATCTAATATCGACACTTCAACGGCGCCGTATTTGAAATTGATTGTGCTGTTTTTGGAGACAAAAATGACAGGTTTCCAGCCAAATAAATATACCTACATATAAATATATACATCTTTATTGATATTTTTTGTGATGCTGATAATGAAACAGGAATAGTGACAGATTGCCAGCCTACAGTACCTACGTTGAATAATTTAATAATCTTTTTATTTTGCGTGTCACGCAAACGTATAAAAAATCTGGCCTGTATTTATCGCAATGTTTACAAGGTGACGCTCTATCTAGAGAGTAAATAATCAAAGCCAAGGCAAAAGAAATTATCTTTCTCCATTACTGCAAACAGTTATTTAGCACATTCTGTGTTCTTCAACTCAATAAGGTCAAACCATTCTTTTTCATCAACGCAAGGTATATTCTGTTTACTATTAGTTAAGGAGTATCGTTTACTATCTTAAATATTTAATTTGTTTTTTTAATTTTATAAAGGTGGCAAACAAGATGGCCACAATAGCCTACAGACGCTTTAGTAATAAGTTTCAGTTTCTTTAATAATAATTTACTTAGATACAAGAATTAAGTGTATGTTATAAGTAAATTTCATTTTATAAAAACACTTAATCATAAATATAAATTAATTTCCTTTGCCAAATGTAAAATCAAAATAAACAATAACTTTAATATCGTATATAACATTACTGTATAAGAAAGCAGTCCATTTTAGATACAAGATTAATCTATTTAGCAAACTACCGCTTGTTATAACAAAGTATAACCCAATTTCGGACAAAGTTATGTACACAAAATTCTTGATAATAAATTCATAGTTCCTACAAACCAGAGTAATCTAGTTATGGACACTGTCCGCTTTGCAAATTAAAGGTTTTCCTCACAAGGGTAGGTTAATTGTCATGATGAATTATGGATAGAACTTAGAATTTTATAGTTTCATTTTAGTACAGCAATTTCAAAGAAAAGTTTAATTGTTTTTAATAAAGCAATATATGTAGATGCAAAGCAAAATACTGAATAGAAAATTTTAAATAAAATAAAATATATTTTTTTTACTTAGGTGTATGTAGTTACTCTTTTAATTTTTTTATATGCGTGTTATTTAATTTTCAATTAGATTTTTATTCTATCATTGTCTTAACGTCTCTACCGGTATTCATATTGCATACATTTCGCGATTCGGGGGCAAAGTCATTAAAGGGAAAATTTAAATGAACCTCAAAACAATAATCAATAATCACCCAAAAATACAATTGGTAACCTAAAGGGTTAGGTTCGGTTACCCAGTTGTAGTTTTAGGACCAATTACTATTTTTTTGATGATTATTTTAATAGCCATGATTAAATTACGTACTGAACCCCGATTCAACCGAAAGATCGACTGGGCTTTGCCTCTTTTAGAGCAAAATCCATTGCCAGCACTCATTTTTAAGATTGTGTTTTGAAGATTAAATTATATTATTCAACAACTTTTTTCTTTCGAGATAGGTTTCTTTGTTTCTTTAATAAATCAATTCGAAAGAAATAAAATGTACCGAATCATATTTGAAATGCCCTTGACATTATTTTTTATATGATTCTTTTGCGGTCGTGCATTCTCTTAAATTAAGGAAAACCTTGATGTAATAGTGATACAAAAATAGCGATAAAAGATTTCTTTTAATAAATCTTAACTTTATTATGTTTCTTTTACTTCTTCTTTCAACGAGTATTATGGCATTTCTCTATTATCAAGTGTATGTAAAACCCGAGACCTTTCAACCCTTAGCCCGTAATTGTTGAAACCTTACACACCGACGTAAATAAATATAACACAACCAAAAAATAGTGTCATCCCACTAGAATTTTTTGTAAAGTGGAGATTGCTTTTCCTGACAAGTCACATGAAATTTTTAAAAGTACTAAGTAATGGATTATTATAACTTGTCTTTATCTATAGACAGTTAACGTTCATTTATCCTTGACTTTGTGAATTATTGTATTCATTATGAACTGGTAAGAGTTTAAACCAACGTAAATGATGGCATTCGCCTCGACCCACTTAGTGGCTAATATAAACCGGGGGACCTACTATGAACATGCTTCAATGAAAAATATGAATATGAACATGCTTCAATGAAAAATATGAATAAGATTCGGCAATCGAAGGGTGACTCCAAAACCTGGTATCATGTGTAGATTGTTATTAAAGCGTACCAAGCTTTTCAGAGTGTTGAGCATAGATTTTACGCACGAATTAGAGTGCCTGCGACTGTCTAATAAGAAAACTTCCACCTCTCAGGAGAACGCAGTGAAGAAACCACTACCTTTTGGGGTATTCTGTAAGTGGGCGAGTAAGGTTCCAGGGCCCCACAGAATTGGGTTATAGAATGGGATCAGGGTGGGCAACGTATAATTGATACTACTGTATTGCAAAATGTCCATACTTTATTTGTAGGCTGTGGTGGCCTTTTACCATACGTACCAACGAGTTACATACCATGAGGGGGAAAACAAAGCTTTAAAGTGGATTATGTACCCAAGGCACTCTATTTCCATTCAAAATACTCGAATTAAACCTTCATAACTACCCGATGTTTTAGAATAGGCCCCGACCTATACGAGGTTTGTCTACGATGAGCGAACTGGAAGTAACTTGACCTATTCAGGTTTTTACTGATTTATACGTTGGTTTTGACCCGGGACCTCCTCTCGGATACAATGTTTACTCGGACACTAATCCTGTAATGAATGATAAGTATCTTAGGCAGAGGAATACGGTTTGCTTAAATCGTGTGGTGTTACGGGTAGAACTACTGAGAGATTGACAAAATATCTTCTGCTTCTGTATTATGGTAGGATTAGCGAGATGAAAAATAGAAGATTTCTTAACATTGAGTATTTGATTATAAAGAATAAGGTTATTCATTATCAGCGATTAATATTATTAATAATATTCACAGATTAGCAAATTAATGTCTCAATTCAGTCTGAATAAGTTTAGAATATTTTTGTTAAGCATGCAACATAATAGTTGTATCAATTTTCAGAAATTAAGCTCTCAATAATTGCATAATCATTGTGAACCAATATGATAATTGTACTTTTATCAATGTTTAACAAATGTTAGGTATAAAATATGTTTGAAAATGAAACACAAATAGATTTCATACAATAAAAACATTTCGCATTTTCCTTTTTTTAACCGACCGATCCCTACGTTATTTTTCATTTGTTTTAGGAATTCGACTTGACGACGACAGCGCAAAAAGTAATTGCATGCCATCTGCTAAGAGAAAAACACTAGGGGATTTTCATGTATGTAATAGTATGTTAAATGTAAGTAAACAAGCTTTGTTCTCCTTTAAATAAGTCCTTACGACATGACCGAGAATTGATATGTGGTAATACGCTGTAATATAAAAATAACTGGCCAAGCGCGAGTCTGGACGCAATCTATTAGGGTTCCGTAAGATAACTTTCAACACATTTGCTCAAAAAATTATTTACGAAAAATAAAACATTTTACCGCATGTACATACATGGCACAGTGCGTATCCTTTAGGCTTTTTTTTATTTCGATCAAACTTGCTTGGAAGCACTTTTAGTCTATATCTTTGTCTCAAAATATTATATAATAATATTATCATATTAATACTAAAAGGAAAAAGAGACGAAAGATGTAGTTTTTTTTTACGAAATATTTATTTATAAAAAAATACTGTTAAAATATTGCAAACATTGGAAAGGTAAGGATTGTTCATAAAAACCAAGCCTGTATTAATAAACAACTTTGGCACCTACCAAACATTTAATACTTAACTATTCAGATAATACTGGGCAAATTTAAATATTCTATACTTTAATTGTTTCGAAAAATAAACAATAGCTTAATAAAAGAAAAAAAATACAAATTAATAAAATAACCGAACTCAGTATCGAACCACCGATCATTTGGTGTCGACCCCAAGACCGTTACCGTTTGGCTATCTGTCTCTTGCAGAAAGTTACAAAATTACGGATACCTTCTGTAAAATACCGTTATCGTTTCATCGAGTTTCAAATCACAACGCACAGACAGGTATTTGGCCCTAAAAGTCGGACAAAAATATTTTTTGCGATTTATAGTATTATTAAAGTATTTTGTTCTATTTTGAGGCATAATAGAGTAAAAAAAAGGCATACATTATTCTTAACAAATTTTATTTCTAATTTTCATCATCTTCAGAGTCATTTTCAATACTAATATTGCAAATATCATTTTCCTCCAAAAGATTCATGGTATCCGCTGAAAGAGGACTCTTTCTTTTATGTTTAGAGTTCCTCATTCCCGTCAGCAAGGGGTCTGATGTTAAGAGCAACCTATTTAAAACGTCTGTGTTGCAGGCTACTCTCGAAAATTTTCGGGCGTAGTTTAGCCGAAACGCTCGGATGTGCTTATTGCGGGCTTCTGCAGCTTCTTCAGTCAATTGCCCGATTGGCAGAATCGCCTCTTTTATCACGGCTGCCCCATGAATCAACACCTTATGTAATGTCGGCGACATTGGATGAAACTTGTACAAAGAAACGTACAATTCAGCAGTTTCTTTGCAGTAAATTTCGAATTTGTTGATGTTAATTTTTATCCCGCAGCACATGGTGTCTAGGATGACTTTTAATCGGTAGATTAAATTCTGGTCAATCCCAGTTATTTCTGCAGCTTTCTCGTATTTATCGAAAAATCGCCTGCTGGTATTCCCATCATTTGTGTTTCCAAAGTTAGCTTTTGGAATATCTACTAATAATCCCAGTTGTTCACGAAACTTGGTTTGGATTTCTTTTTTTCGTGTCTCAACTAGTTTCTTCTCTTCGGCAGTCAGGCGAGCCCTCCACTTCATGACTGGTAATTTATAGGCTACATGCAGTATGCTCTCCAAAAATCTTATTCGAGCGTGCAGCAAAGATAGACCAAATCGCATGTTTTCCGTATTGCAGGGTCTTTCTTTTGTAAGGTCGTTGAAATCGGAGGATGTGGCGCCACATATGTAACATCGCATGGTTGACTTGGTATGGGTTGCTGCGTTACATACCTTGCCGTCCACCATGGTAAAAACTATTTTGTGTTTGACGGATATGTCGTCGATCTTGGTCTTGCTCAGTTCTTTTATTTGATTTTCTACGTACTCAATTTCCTCATTAGTCACGTCAGTGTTTTCTTTCACAAATCGTATGCGTATTGGTCTGCAATATCGTGGTGATGACGGAGTTGGGTTTTGCCATATAATTTTTCTTTCCGTTCCATAGACTAGTTGGAGCGGAACGACAGAACTTTGAAAAATGTTGGCGTCGGAATCTGTCTCATTTGCAAATTTCATTTTATATTGAATCTGCTGAGATCCGTCACAGCCCCATTTGCTGATGAGCAGAAAGGATTGCTTTTCAGATTCAGTCAGTTGCTCCAAGACCTCCTCACCAAGATGCAACAATAATCGCTTGATGGTGTGATCCATTAAGCTTTGTACCCTTACTTCGGCACAGGTCTCAGTTATGCTGTGGATTTCAGGGTAACATTCTTTCTTCAACTTCTTTAGAATCGAATAGCATGGGTAAAAGCCTGGATTCGTGTCTCGAACCACTTCGTATTGGGCCTGGGTAAGCCCAGCTTCAACAAACATAAACAGGGAACGAAGGTGTGCCAATTTCGTTAAAACTTCTTTTTCTTGTTCAGCTGCTTGTTCTTTTATCGCTGCTGCATATTTTTTTGCTCTCCGGGGGCTTCTGGTAAGGACCTTTACGATTTTTGATGCTTCGACTGCGCCAGTTTCTCGCAATTTCATTTGTGTTGCGTATGCCAGCACATCTAAGTCAGATGTTCGAAGATTTTCAGTTTTTCGCCTTTTATTCCTTTCACATAAGTCTGAAAACGACTTTTGAGGTCTACCTGGACTTAATCCTATAACAAAAGATAAACCTTTAGACACTGATAAAATTCCATGAAATATAATAATGTTCGAAACAAAAGAATTGTTAACGTAAATAGGTAGGTACCTGCTTTTGGTAGCGATATGGTGCCCTTGAGCCATTCTTTGTTCGCTTCTAGGAATCTGGCTTTGGTGTTGCGGGCAGCTGACCATTTCTGCTTGAATTGGTGACGTATAATTGACAAATTGTGCTTTGCATCGGCAATGTTTGGGTCATCTTCAGAGTATTGACGGAGAAGTTCCAACTCCATAAATTCCAACTTTTCATTGAAAGTTGAAGCATTGGAGCGTTCCATGATAGTAAGTAAATCGTTTCTAGTTAATACCCGCATCCCAGAAGAGCCTGGGAACGAAATCAACAAATTTTCATTAAAAAAAACAACACTTGGTTTTTTAAGTCCAGACAAAAAAAAACAAACCAAAAATGGAGGGGTGCGTTAGGGTGGCTGTTTTGCGTATTTTAAAATACTATAGAGTCTATTCTAAAACAAACCATATAAATTTTTACTTAGAAATGCTCAGAAATACTTTAAAAAGCTTAAAGATTTTTTTAAAATGCGTATTTTATAGGACTTTTTAAGAATTAGTTACTAATGGAGCTAAAGATACGAAAACTTCCTCTTTTCATAACAAAACTAAATAAAATAATAAGTAAATACCTGGTTCTGTAAGATCCATAGTAGAAATTCAAAAGAAATTGACTTTTTCACTATAAATTTAATATTTGAAAACTGAAATGAAATTGAGCGTATCGAATAATTACACGACCACGGCAAGCGAACGGTGATTTCCGACTGAGCGCATGGAGCGGGGGAAAGGCTCTAGCGCGTCGGGTTCACGCTATTGGTAGGAGGAGATACTATTGTATTTCGAGGAATAATAAAAAACAGCATCTAACTAAAACAAAAAAAATGGATTTCGCCCGACTTTTAGGCCCAAATACCTGTCTGTGCAACGGTGCTACAGAAGATTTCACTTCAAAAAATCGTCCCCTTTTCATGTATGATACACCCTATGAAAAATATTTAAATTGAACTTATAACTAAAATAGCTGAGCCTGCGAACTTCGTATCGTCATTAAAAAAGGGTGGTAGAATGGTGAAAATTTAGGGTTGTATGTATTTTTGTATGACGTATCATATTTTTTTTCTAAAAAAATAAAAAAAATACTTGTGGACCACTATTAACATATAGGGGGATGAAAAATAGATGTTGTCCGATCCTCAGACCTACTGAATATGCATATGAAATTTCACGAAAATCGGTCGAGCCGTTTCGGAGTAGTTCAATTACGCACACCGTGACACGCGAATTTTATATATTAGATATTCGGTTTTGTCCAAAGCCGCATTCTATGTGAAATATCGAAATTTTAATTCTGTAAATCATTCCGTTTACGATCTTGAAAACCGTGATGACTGACAGACGACAGTGTGACAGCAATAGGGTTCCGCTTTTACCGTACGCTACGGAACCCTAATAAATAGGTGATAAAGTTCGCCAGCCCACTGCTATATTTTCTGCTGACATGAATAAGCACTTGCTGGCCTCTAAGTAGGCTCCCTGTACGCTCCATATTTTGTTGATAACGTGAACGAGAGCCCGACAGTTTGTGATTTCAAAGCCCGGAGGTTTATTCACAACCTAATATATTCACGGACGTTTGCTAAGGGTAAACAGTTGCATGGTGTTATTGTTTCACGTTATTTTTTTTATAAAGTTTATTAACGGCTGATAAACAATTTTAATTAGACTCTGAATGTTTAAATTTGTTTAGTATGCCTTTCATGCGTACCCACTTACTCTTTATTCATTAAAACATAAAAGCTGTTTCGCGTTTATTAATGGTAAATTAGTAATTTTTTTTTCATCGTCAAGGTAATATTATTAATCGTGAGAGCCGAACCAAAATGTATCAAGTTCCATCATTCGTTGTTAAACATAAATAATTTATTGGAAAAATAGTAGGTATTATTACTAACTCTTCAATATCCGTTTCGAAACTCTAGCTAAGCGTAACCAGCTCGGACGGAAAAATTACTGTAGGATGAGGCGGCAGTCTTTAATCAATTAAATTCAATTATAAATTAATTTGGTGTCGTCGTGGTGCATTTATCTGCTATATCTTGTACTAATTAATGTATTCGTCAGTAATAATTTGTCACTTGCCATTTTCTTTACTCTGCCAGCACCATAAAAATGGCGGTGGCACTCCGGGAGTACCGACAGAAGTAAAAACTCAAAAATATTTTTTTTCCGATCTCAAAAAACGCCCAACGCGCTTAAAAACTTCAAAAACTCATCTCGAAAAATGCCCAACGCGGCTAAAGAAGTTTTCACTTCAAAAACGATATAGCCCGTACTACTAGGAGTATCTTCACCTGGCCCTTATAGAACACACTTTTATTACTATTGTAAATAGTTAACTAGAATGTTGATTTTCAACGTTTCTAAGCAGTGTTCGTCCCGAGTTTTAATGAGAACACAGTATTTCTTCATAGTACTTTCACACAGGCAAGGCAGTGCATATGTCTGTGTTTGGCTGTGCCGCTAGGTTCACGAATGAGTGATCGAGTTATCGACACCAGTACAAAGGTTTTTCGAACCGCTTGACTAATACTGCATGAGGTTGCTGTTAATTGCTCATCGTTAGCAAGGCACTGAATCTTTGATGTCAATGTCAAAGGAAGTCTTATTGCAGTCTATTTATAAAACACTACCTTTTAGTTAGGCATTAAATAATTCTTCCGCGATTCTTAGCAAAGAAATGTTATTCCTCTTAAAGTAGGTACGTCACAAAAATAGTAATAACCAGTGATTCAATATGATATTGGAATGATCAATGACTAATTCTAATAATAATTAATAATCAAGTAAGATAACATAAAAATCTTTTTAAAAGTCATACTTTAATCTTTAGTGGAATCGCAGATGTGTGAGATGATTGTACAGAACAAGTAGACGAAGAAACGCTGTGCCTAACATCTTTTAAATGTTTTCAACTAGAAGCAAATTTTGTTCGATGTACCACAGAACATATTATCTGCGATTTTTTGATTTTGAATGCAAGTCGAATATATCGCTTTTACGAAAATGTACTGAAGTTTCTGACACGCATGATAATTTTTTGCGAAAAATGCCTATATCTAGCCGAGAATCTCAATACTAAGAATAAATGTCGAGATAGATAAGATAAATCACTATATATCTATTCGGCTTTATTAGGGCCAATAAATAACAAAGCAGTTGAGGTGATTCATTTTTATCACAATTTTTTACCTAGAAAAATATCAGTATTTAGCGCAACTTTTCCCAACATCCTATTTGAGACGAGACGAAGCAATATAACAGGTCAGTGAATAATAAAGCAACGCAATACCTTCCGCTTATTCTTGGTTGGGGATATAGGTATGATATAGGTATATCCATAAGTTAGCTAACTTTTGGATATACATCTTCTTCAAAATAACACAAAAACAAATTGTCACTAAATGCTACGAAATATCTACTTTTCTTTTAATGGGTAAGCTCTTGATCCTCTATTCGGCCCGAGAGCAGAGATGGGAACTACGGTGTAGCGAGTTTACCTAAACGGAGCCATTCTGACTTTAAAAATAGTCAGATTATAGATTCTCGGAAATAAATCTTAAATTTCGGGCATGTTTATTTCTATAATAAACTTCCTCTGTAAAGCGATTAAACTAATAGCACCCACTATGGCTGCCGTATACTATGCAAATTAATGAGCTATTGTCACTACTTATTAACGGTGATGCAGGATAGCAGCTATACCATCAGGCTGGCGGCGTGCTTGTTTACTGTGCTATAAAAAGTTATCTATCCCAGCCGTCACGATATTTTATAGCCTGACATAGGATTAAACAAAACGACTTTTAACACAGATATAGTGAGTTTTGACGAGTTAAATATTATGGTAATTTTTGTTATTTACGGGATTGTTACCATGTACTGGACTGAGTTATTGCGTGATCATGGCGCTTGCAACAGTGCCGAAATATCGGAAACTCGTTATAAACAAAGTACATGGTAACAATCCCGTAAGCAACATAAATTATTATAATGTTAGTGACCATGAGAGTAAACTATTACGCGTATATATTTATTTTCATTGACGTTTCGAGCCAGTTACCGTTTTCAAAAATATATGAATAATTTCTGATTTCCTACCTTATTAAATAATTTGTAAAGTTTATTCAATTGGATTGCGTGGGAGCATATGAAATAAATATGATTTCTTTTTTATACACGGCCCAACAAATTACCACACCCCAGCTGATGTTAAGTGTAACTGGAGTCCAGTTGCGAAGATAGATGTTGCGACTGAAGGTGTGCCTCTCCAGCCATCCTTACCCTTGAACCCCCTGGTCTTCTGTAAGGTGGACGTTGCTTCCAAGACGGCCTTCGAATTCTCTATTTAATAAAATAACATTATACAGCATGTTAAATAAAGCAACTCACCGACAATCGTGTACAGCTGTACAGAGTCATCGCTGCCGTCATCCTCGTAGGCGTCGTTGACGAATGCCGTGCCCGAAGACGGTGGCGTGGACTCCAACGCTTGCAGCTTGTTCGACCCCCGCAGGGACGTCCGCAGGAACTCATTCTGTGCCGCGATCCGGTCCTCCGCTTCTTTACGCCGACGCAGTTGCTCCTGTGGACAAAACGCGAGAGAACGTTACGACTTGTTACAGGGATATCTTATTTGCTGTATATAATATATCGTCATCGTCATTCGCCAATAATATCTCCACTGCTGGGCTCCCAAACTTTGACACGCGTTATCTTTTAAACTTTATGGTTGATTGACAAAAGAAAAAATAAGTGTCCATTCTTTTTTAAGATAATATAACTGATGGAATAAATAAAATTTCTTGTAATTTACATTATGCCTATTGTAAACTGTAGATGATGATATACATAATATATCACCTTTAATGCTTTGCTAGGCCTGCAAGATATGGTGTAAATAATATAATAATTATATAATTAAAGGAGCGGCGACAATGAAACAGAAACTGGCATTCTACGTTTATCTTACACTCATAGATCAGCTTTGCAGCATTTGTTAGTAGGTTGTTCATGTGTATAATTTGGAAAATTACAAGATCGCATCAGAAAAAAACATCACTTTGATAGAAATAATAAAGCCCACGTGTCAGTTCACAAGTGTTAAAGTAAACACTTTGAATAAATAGTTCTGCTATAAACCGGATACGAATGAACACATTATAAGCAATTTCAGATACTGACATATAAACAGCATTATACTCTATCATCTATTTACTGGGTTTAGGGCACGGTAGTGCCTCCGCCAAGACGACAAGATGAGCCAAGCGAAGCGCAAGGGCACTCAACTACTTTTTCTCGTAGCGCTTCGACGTTTTTTTGGACCCTTATAACTTGGGTTTGAATTATACCAGATAAACAAAATTCTCGGGATATGTTGTCAATAGCGGACTTATAGCACATATACTGGCTTATTCAAAAACACGGACTTAAGCTAGTCATGGTTTAAACCTAATAATGTTGTATCTCTCTTCTTTTTAGTAAATAAAAGAGGCAGCATCAGTTTTTGTCCACATTTTGTAATAAGGCGGTAAGAGTTTAAATTGCAAAGCCCCCATACTTTAGATTTTATAATATATATTTAAGGTGAAATAAATATCCACTGTTCATTACTTTTCTGTTATACATGCAATAGTTCTTGTAGTAACGAAATGGCCAAGTCACATATTTTGTCTAAGGTGTAGAGTTTGTGAAGTTCCAGGCCCTGCCAGAATACCAGCGCTGCTGTGACACAGAGCCTGCTGTTGTGGCGTGTTGCGGCAGCATTATGCTGAAGCAGGATCCTTTGTAGTTCCAGGTACTTTGATTAATGTATTTTTTCTTTACTCCATTAAGTATAATTCTCATTTTTTTTTGTTTGTTGTTTTGTAAATTAATGTGGTCAATAAAATGTTAAATTCTCTCTCTCTCTCTCACTTTCTCTCAAGTTAGGCCTTGTAGGTAGAGTATGCCTGTAGAGTTAGAAACTTTATATTTAATGTTAATTTTTAAAATGGTTGATTAATAGAAATTTCAATTATTTAGGGATTCCTATTTACTTGCATTGTTTATTTTTATATAAAAGAACATGAAAGAGTCACCATATTTTAATTTTTATATAATGTTAAATAATCAGCTGACAGATGTAGTCTAGTGGTATAGATTATTGCAGTTTTTAAAAACGTTGTTCTATAGGCCACTTAATGAAGTTTTTATAATAAAATAATATAATTCATTTAGTAATATATAGGTAACTGATAAAAAGTTACCTATGTTCGATAAATGAAAATTTCCTTTTGAAAATATAAACTCGAATATTTTGCATTTTAAAGTCGCGATTTTAGCTCTTAAACATGAATTTTGTATGATAATTAATTCACACATTGTAGTTTCATGTTACAAACATGAATTGTTTCATATTAGTTTTAGCTTAAGCTTAAGCACGTGCTATAAATGTTAATTTGTGACACGGCCCGAAAAGTATTTCTTAAATTTCTTTGTGTAAGTGTATCTTTTAACTTAACTAACACTAAGTTATTTTCCCATTGAGATAAAGGGTCTTGACAGAGAGAGACGGGCAACCAAGTGATGTTACAAGGGTTCCGTTCTTTCCCTTTTAAGGTACAGTACCCGAAAAATACGTTGTAGATGTGTTGTTCATACAGACAAAATTGTATAAACGTTAATTCTTATATGTATAAACTGTATACCAAACTATAATAAACTTCACTTTCATTTCGAATTAGATCCTGAATAACCGTTTTTTTTTATAAAATATCCTCTTAAACTTTATATTCTATAAGTTATGAAAGTTTGGCAGTCCTAATTTCACGGCTTGGTTATAGACCTAAAGGGAGTTTGATTAAAGATTGATGCATCGTGCTTATAGGGCGATTGGTTTGAGAACTAATGTTCAACAAACTCCAACTTTATTGATTACGTGTCCGTGGTAGAATTTAGATAACATTAATTAGTAGTAAGTAATTCTAAAAGTTCTGTCTGTGTTTCTTAAAAGGATCAGGGTCATGAAAATAAATTGTATGCACGTTGAAAAACTGTCTCAATCGTTATTTAATTCATATAATACGTCTTTAACTTTGGGATATTCCGTCGCTTATACACAAAATTTCTCTTACAAAATAGTGAAGGTTCTATGCAGTTTGGGAAGCCAAATAAAAAAGTTTTTTTTAACACATAAATATGTTTAGTATGTATCACGTTCCCAACGATCTCAAAAACTACCGCTTACGAGTTGTAATGGTTCAAATCCCATAATAATGATGTCATGTCATGTCATTTATATTCAACAAATGACAAATTATATTTGTACAATTTTGTCAATCGTCCTCCATTATAACAACACGCTTTTACGAGTTCCGCTAGCATACAATTACAGCACAAGAGCAGTGATCCCTGATCCAGAATATTCAGTGCATTTCACACCCAACGAACTGTGTATCACGAGACGGTTTTATGCCTTTGTTTATGTCTCTCGCAGATTTAATCAGACTAAACGAAATATATGTTGGCAGTGGGACGCTACGCCATTGTGCCATACACACTATATACCAACCAGCTCCTGCCCCTAACCTCATTTGCGTGGACTTCGGAATTGTAATATAACTGGTGAACATTTGGTAAGATTAACAATATTCTTCGAAGAAATTCTATGACGACCTCCGTGGCCGAGTGGTTTGTACGCCGGGTTTCATGGTGTCGCCGACTCGAGAGGTTCGAATCCCGGTGGGGGCAGATATTTGTGTGATGAATACGAGCATTTGTACTCCAGTCATGGATGTTTAATATGTATTTCTATATAAATATACTTATATATGTACAGTATATGTATTCTATCCGTTACCCTAGTATCCCATAACACAAGCCTTACAGTGCTTACTTTGGGGCTAGGCTAATTGGTGTGAGTTCTTTTTTACATTGGCTAACGCCAGAAATGTCAAAGGTAAGTTTGCCTTGTGGAATTGCACCGTTTATGCTCTATCAACCTTATAAGTGATATTTGGAGCGCAGCTGTTTATTTCTATATCAGAGCAAATAACTCCACTCTACCTGAAGTCCAGTGTCAGTGGAGTCCAGATGCGAAGTTTTTTTTATATTAAAAGTAAGCGGATGGTAAGCGGCAACCATAGCTTATAGACGCTTCCGATACAAAAAATATCACACGCGCCGTTGCTTGCCCTGACCCAATCCCCTACCCCGTGGAGCCCTGGAACACTACTCACCGACAGGAATACTACACCACCACAAAGTAATTTTATTTTACTGTAATCTTCTGTAAGGTGGAGGTTACTTCCCTAGGCGGGCGCTCCAATTCGAGCGGAAAATACGCTATGACTTACCTCTCTCTAAGATAGCTGATTTGGTACAAAATCTAAAGGTACATTTATTAATAAATCCTCTCAAATCTTAATAAATAAAAGACATATCTATTAATACTTTACGCATTACTAAAGATATTCGAATGTCGCACGTAATCTTTACGCAACGCAAGAATTGGAACGCTACAATACATACGCCAGGTTGTACCAGTCCCACGGACGGGCCATGAAGAACGCTAGAACTCAATTATTGTATAAGGAAAATATTTAAATGATCATCAGAAAACCAGTAATTTTGATCATAAAAAAGTTAATTGGTAACCTAACCTTTAGATGCCATTGCCACAATACCTCATTGTGGTTCTTTTTAGTATATGATGAAGGCATTGTCTTCAGCGATGACGTTTAGAAAAGCTCGTAACGGCATAGACTGAATCACTGAGTTGCGTTTTGAGTTTGGAGTTCAGGAGGCATAACGATATATTATGGTGCAGCTCATCTGCACCTTGTAACATCAACCATGTTCACTCCGTGAAGTTCAGGCAACATTACTTATTGTAAGAGTATATTAGACTACAGTCTTCTATAAAGTGATGAGGATACTTGCTCTATGTTATATGAAACACAATATGAGTGGCTCTGAAAATTGGGAACAGGGCATGAGAAAATGGGAGACATTTTATTTTAGCTCCTGCTTGGGGCTAAACTAAACTACTACCAGATACAATATTTATCGATATGTTATTAAGTGAACTAATCAATTTATGGTCAGGGATAAATTTGAGATGTCGCATGCCGCAAGCGTCTCGTAAGTTATTGTAGATTATCAGGTGCTAGTCCAAAACAAATCTTCGACCGCTGCATGTGGATCGCATTAAGAACTGTTAGTACTAATCCCTATACTTATCCAAATTATTTAAAAACCTATTTTGCCATAATCTTGGTCGTATATTATTATGTACTAGTAACACTGAGTTCGCTCATCAAATAAGTTTTACTTATTATAGTAAACTTGTACTTTAACTGACCGCATTACCGTTGTTTGTATGGCTCCATGCCCTGATCACGTAATATTGCAATATGGGTTTGTTTGCCGGCCACTGATTGATCATTTGTATTTAGCACTACCGTGTAAACGATACAATTGAGACTTTAACACTAGCAACACTTGCATTAAGAATCACGCTTTAATTTCTACGTAATACAGGCGATGTCAATGTTAAAGAACACTACAGACGTAACTGCGACTGTACTTACTTAGCGTTCATGATCTGCGAGTCTCTTAAGTCACGTTGCCAATAAGGTCGTTAGTTGTAGGATACAATACTGTTTTCAAACTCAAATATTAAGGTTGTTTAAACCATTAAATTTAAAAGCAAATACTTTTCTGTTTTTCTTAAAGTACTTATCATTATTTGTGTAAAATGATACCGAAACTGAAGGAAAATTTGCTCTACAAAATCGAGAATATCAAGAGCTTAATACAAATCTATCTTAAACTTTCGTTTTACCTACATTTTTTTTCAGATAGCATAGCGTCTACGTCTCGAGCTCAACTCAAATACAGTTAGGTTCAAAACAATGTTACACAATACTCACGGAGTAGGCCTTTATTCTTTGTGGGTCGACGTCGTGCTGCGAGCGGGCCTGCGCACGCGGCGATGACGACACCATCATCTATAGATCACGATACACTAACGGTGATCCCACACTGTACACAACACTGAGCGCCATTCCCACTTCCATACACTTCACGATCACAACATACACTGTTTAAATTGATATTTAACTATGTATATCGAATATAAGTGGGGATGTTAGGAGCATTTTATTCCTTCATTCCAAATGTTTAAATTTGAAAGTCGATCTGATTATGAATGAATAAATAGTTAATGTATATAATTAAATAACCCTCGTTTCGATTAAGTCAAAAAATGGCTTAGCTAATTCCTGTCAACGTTATTGAATTCCAAACAATTTTTTATCTATTATTCTTAAATGAGGTAATTTATTAATGATGACGACACGAATCCAAGAAACTTAAAATAATAGTTTATATAACTTAATAGCCTAGATTTGCTGTAATATAAATATAACTTAAATAAGACAAGAATAAAAAAAATGTAGTAAAGATATGAACATATAGATTACAAAAATCAAAGCTACGGGGAGAGAAAAATATAAACATCCATCCAAAATAATACTGGTAATCAATAACTATTTATATTTTTAACATTAAAAATAGAAACATTATGAAGATGTTGAGAAAAACATCAAGAAAATCTACAATATTAATGGTATGTATAGTAAAACTGTACATTAGTAAAGCTGGTATTAGAGCTCCTCGGTCATTGATGAATTATTAAATCGAGCCTATAATTTATCAAATATCTGTAGAGAACAAATGGGGAACCAAAATAATATATAATATTTCAATTATACAACAACATTGTACAATATTTTTTCATTGTAAAATATCTTTACTGAATTGTAAGCATCTATAAAGTTTGAAATCGGATGAATAATGAAATTTTGTGTTTGATTGGTTGTTTATCTATTTCTTCAAGACCGGATTCGCTATTATCTGCTCATCCAAGCCTTCAAATTCTTGAAGTGTAAATTCGTGTTGTAATGGAGATTTTTTGAATAAATTGATGTTTATAAAACGAGATTTTATACACTATTCCGTGATTTTCATGTTTTGGTGGAAGAATATTATAAATCATTGTATGTTACGAAAGGCTTTTTCGTTTAAAAATAAATTTCCTGTTTTATTATATAGCGTTTTCTTTCGGGTACATAAATCCGGAGAGTTCTCTGATCTAAAGTTAATGGGATAGTTCGATAAATACAATAATAGCACCAATGAAGACACATTCATGTTTTTAAAACATTAGGGTAGGTGCTATGTACTATTAAAAATTAGAAAAAAACATGAATTAGCAACTGTTGTGCGAATCCGGGGTGTTTTATAGTTTATGATACTTTACATATAACAAAAAAATTCGTGTGGCACTCGGGGACTGCAGCGGTAAAGCTATTGTATAGCATTTTTATCAAGTTAAACAATTATAATTTATTTTATTTAGGCAGTATTTTTTTCTTTGATATTAATTCAAGTTACTCCTTTTGAGCGTGGTGACCGACAATAAAACTTTTTTTTCTTTTATTGAATGAATGAGAAGTTAATACTGTTTAAAATATTTTTGTTATCTTATAATACATGTAGGTTATTCATGAATTTTTATCATTGAAACTATAGGTTTATGGTAACTGAAACAAGAAGTTAGCAACTAGTCTACACGCATACGTCTAGTCGCAAGCACACAAACACCGTGCCGAAGTCTGCCGATTTGAAACGACGTTAGACGAGGGTGACAGGTTTTTTTCGTTACGAAATTTCTTAAATCGGTCGCCGCGCTCAAAGCCCGCGATAAAAGCTATTCAATAGCTTAAAAAAATAGAAAGAATTAGATTTTTTTTCGATTTTTAGGTGGCCCTGATTAGGTCATTCTATACGTTATACTTACATTCTATTTTTGCGGACAACTTCATGAAATGCAGACGGACAAGAACCACGTTATAGATTTCAAAGGTATGGTAGTAATTATCATATTCTAGACCGGTTTACGATTAACTGATGATTCGTCTGAGTAAAGAGACGCAACAAACTTCATGGCCACAAATTTAAAGGGTACGTATTGGTTGTTTGAAATTAAGGCGCCTTCAGTCGGCTGCACCATTTATTTTCCTCAAATTCCACAGAAGATTGCTGTCGAGTCTCATTAAAAGGGAAACAAAATAAATACAACAAGTTGATACTACCCAAAAGTGTAACGATGACAAATGCTTGTTGGGGAACATTACATTAAGAAGATAAATATTTCTTCCCCCAATATCGAATCTAGATCACGTACTTTCGTGTGATCAATAACTTATCAGATACGCGGAGTAGAAATAAGAAAAATATGTTACCCATTGTTATGAGAACGAGATAATAGTCGTTGTGCATCGATAACCTTTATCGATAAGAGATTATCAACCAGTACATATCAGCTGGCGTGAATTGGTTTTTCTATAAACGCTAGATTTTTCTTTCTTTTACGATTTGCAATCTTCACAAAACGAAAACTAACATTATTATTGCAAAAATTATCAATGAGATTTATTTTTAAATTATACAGAATCATAATAGGAAAATCAATGCATTCATACTTTATGAAACATGATTTTACCGACGTTTTTATATGTTATCATGAATACAATAGCACAGGCCATACAATTGTGGGACAGAATCGAACGTATGACTGATTGAATTCAATGACATTATTCGAAAGACGTACTACCTATTCCAACAACTATTTAATATGAGGCTTTTTATATTACTTGATATAAGGTCCGAGTTGGTTGATTTAGGTTGAACCGTAGTTTTCTTAGGTATTAACTATGTATTTTGTGCCGAATGTGGTAATGAAATACACGAAGTCGTATAATAATATTTTAATGGTCTAACGTTGAAACACGAACATTCATATGTAAACTGATTACCTCATTTTCACCTTCGCCTCTGCGACACAAGCAGAACTGCTTGAGTCTCTCCACGCTCATACAACATTTTGTCGTGTCTAACAAATACGCGTTCAACGTTTGAACCACCTTGCCCATTTTGGTTTAGAACGGCATTGTTTAAATGTTTTTCGAACACTGACGGCGCAGACACTGTTCACGGGCTGAGAATATTTGGCGGTGTGTTTATCATATTTTCAGTGAATGCGTGTGCACAATCGGAAAATTCTGCTAGCACTGGTGTTATCAGAGGCTGCTATCTGGAGTTTGTCACGGCAGATATTGTAGTCGATGTGCCGTGATGACGATAACGCCGCGAGGGGCGTGCAATAAAAACACACTAAACGCTCGGCTTTTGTTTTGTGAAACAGATGTTTCATTACAGTGCATAATTTTACTCTTCGTATTTCAAAAAGATTTCGGTGAAAATTACCATTAGCTCGGCGATAATTTGTATTGATATCGAGCGCCATTCAAATTGATAACTTATACCTTCGTCAAGAAAAGAAACAACTCATTTTTATTATCTGCTCAAATGCGATAACAATTAAATTTGTGATATTTTGAAATTAATTCAGTGTTATTCCGATTGAAAATGTTAATGAGTATACAGAACTGTTAATAACACCGTTTAGAGAGGTATATTAATCGACTAATCGTATCAATCAGCACGTTATCCATATTTAATAATACGGTGACATATCAATAAATTAGTATAAATTAGTAATATTTACCTAATCATGATACGCTGTGATTCAGTTCGGAAATATGTTGATAAAATATTTAGTGGAAGAAATATAAACGGTGTACGTTTATATTTCTTTACCGAATTACTATAATAAACATTAAACGACATGTTATATTTTTGTAAGGAGGTTGGGCAATTGCATTGTATTTACAGTGAACAGAAAGGAAATCATATTTTTATGAAAGTACAAAAATATACAATTTTTTTCTAGTCTTTTTATAATTCTTCAGTCAACATTTTTGTATCGTAAATAAAACACGAAGTTATTTACAAAGGGCTAGTCAATGTCACCATTATAATAGGTAAGCTATTAATAATTCTAAGCAGCAGGTGACAACAGACAGATGCCGTGAAGCACCCATCTAGGTTACAGATGCTTCGCCTTGTATCGTCAACTCCTTGACACAACAATCGACCAGTCGACCTATTGCTATTTGCTTTTTGTCTATCACATTTCAAGGTATATCAAACCTTGAGTGAATTGTAAATTTAAATTATTAAACAAAACTACAAGCATTTTTTCTTTTCAGTATCTTAGAGTTTACATTGCATATTTCTGTTTTCACACGTGTTTTACTAATTAATAAAATGAATATCTTTAACACTAGTGACATATCTCGCTAGTGAACCAAATGTATAGAAACAAAATGGCAGTAAGACCCACTTGCCCTCGGAAATGTGTCAATTATTTAGCGAAAGTTTTGCAAAACTGTAACCCAATTAGACTGCATCACTATCGAAGCGAACACAAACTCTGAATTAGAACAAGTATTATTACATCGACATATTTTATAAAAAATCATGTTACACTTGTCAAAAGCAAAGTTAAACGGATTAGGGATTCGCACAGAATATTAGCAACGGTCTTATAATACTTATAGGACTCGATTTTGCATTTTTCCATTTACATTCTTGTGGCAAAATCACTTCAAAAGAATATATGTTCAAGAATACATTATATTATTATGCTTCCTTATGTAATATAAACGGAGTGTTAACCTACATTTATGCATACGAGCATCGCAGATAAAACTCCCGTGTGGATCGTAAAAGCCCATTAATTAAATTCGATTTAACACCTCAGCTATTTCGAAAACTCTATTCTCTTGACATTTACGTACTAGTCCCAATAAACTATAACGTAAGTCAGTGGTTTTGGGTTTACGTTTATGGTTTTCCCGGGGTGCCGGCCATATTTCATGCCATATAACATATAACCCTGCACAGCCATGTAAAATTTAACCACCGTGCTACTATCCAGGGGCACGTTAAACATTTTACAGGTACTTTTTTACAGATAATATTTATAGCTCCTTACGTAAAAGTATGACATTGCGAATCGTATTTTTTTCCAAATTATCTGTCACAGTTAGATGAAACACAGTAAGTATATATTACTTGGAAGCTTTTAAAACCGATATCATATTAATGTGTTTGATAACATATAGGTACAGCTTTAAAGGTTTAATGTCACTAAAATTTGTTTTCTATAGTTTTTATTCAATCTTGGTATAAAGATCATCAGTTTTCACACACAAACCTCATTTATACTCAGTATTACTTTTACTAAATTATAGTAATTAAAATTTATAAATGTCCCCATGTATGCCTTTGGAATAGTAATCCGGAACTCTGGAAGGAAAAACTCGTGGAATCATTGAAATAGATCTGTTCCGTAGTCTGGCATTGATGCAAGTTCAGTTACTAATTTTATTAACTAACAACAATGTTTTATATCCGAATATTTGTTAGACTGTAAGGTAAATATCTATGGGCCTATGTAGCCTGGTCAAAATAAATAATATAATTAAAAAATAGGCTAAGGACACGACAAAAAAAACATATAGACCCCCAATACACGTTTTCATTTAATTTTGCAGATAGTTTCGAATAATGCAAGGTTTTTTTTATCATTGAGCGCAATCGAAGACATAAAGTGCAAATGTTTGATAACGTTAGATGTTTAAGGAATTTCTTTATCTAAATGAACATGGGTAGACTAAGAACATAAGTTACTGCTTAATTGTACATTATCTTCAGTGCCGGAGGCTTCTTGTTGTGTGTACTGTAAATTATAGATTAGTTTCAAAGAGAAATAGCGGGTGCTTTTCAGTGTTTAGAAACATATTTAGTTATACTGCTAGCTGGAATATAAATAAGCCGTATGCCAAATTAAAAAAATATTTGTCATGATTAAAAAATACAAGACTAATTAAAACATACATATAATCAAAATTTACATTCTATGATAAATAATAGAAGAGAGAAATATGTTACTACAATTTAATTTATTTCCAGATTTCCTTTCGACGACGCTTTATGTTAAACTCAAGGTAATTATTGCTCAACTACCTGCTTTACTAACGTTATCATATCCGATAACCATGAGCACATCACTAAAAAAATACCTTAATATACTCGTAGTAAAACGATATATAAAACTACTATAATGTAGAAATGTGTGTAAATATATAAGCATTGAGTATTTGACAATTTTCCAGTGTTATTCACTTCGCGTCAATAAAATCGCACCGACGCGAAAATAACTTTAAATCGTTATTAAAACCCTTAACACACGCATTTACCCCCAACAATATTGGATTCATTTGAAAGCCCATTAAATAAACTTAAAAATCAAATCAATAAATTTTTATTTTTATTGGAACAGCGTAAGTAACAACAAAGTTTACAAAACAATAAAATTCCTTAATTAAGCCTTAGTTAAAAACATACAAAAAGGTTCTTAAAACTAACCTAAAACCTAGTGTTAGCAACTAGTGACCCTTTTGAGGAGCAAAATTCGAATTTTTTTACATGTCACATTTGTGGTATCAATCTTTTTTTAATGAAAGGGAATGGTTTTTTTTAAGTTTATATAATAGGCTTTCAAAATATGACACCAATATTGGTGGGGGTACATGCGCGTGTTAAGAGTTAATAACGCTTTAAGTTATTTTAGTGTAGGTAGTCGTACCTTTAATGTATGATGTAAATTGTAGGAAAACTTGGGCTGGGGTGGTTACCACAGAGATGATTCCTAGCGAGAATCAAGTCTACTAACTTTTGATTAAACCACGATATTTATGTACATATATTCCAAATATTAAAATATATCGTAAGTACTTCAGAAAAATTAAATAAAGTTACCCAATATTAAAATGCATAATAAAAACGTAATTGGAATTTGTGGAGTTAACTTTCTCGGTTGACATTATGGCAAAGGAGAATTTACATCGTAAAAAGATATCGTGGTTATTTCCATAGTTATTTCGTTGAGTGCTTTCATACAAGTAAGCAGGAGAATTGTAAAAGGAAATATTTTGAGTGACAGCACTTAAGTAAATTTTGTTTTTCTTTTTTTCTCTATTTTGCAAAAGTGATCACTTTCTGTAATATAACAGTTAGGTTATTTTTCACATATTGTTCGATTTATTATAACAAAATAAAAATTTACCTATTCTATAACGTAATATAAAAAAAAAAACAGATAAGGTAAGACAAATAGATAGAATAGTCATAATTTTTTTTTCTCAAGGGAAATAATACAAAATAGTCTTGTTATCAATTCTTGTCACATACTTCGCAAACGTGGAATTTAGAGTATGTTCCCAGAAGACACCAAGCGATTTTTAAACCAAATGGCTTTGTCCAAGTACCTTCTGAATAATGCTGATTAACGCCTACCCCTAGGGACCCTTGGGTTACCTCACACCTTCATGCGACCGTAGTTTTATTTCCTCCAATTTCACCTTTTTCACGGCGAAATTTCGAAAAATACTGTTAATAACGAAAAAGTTCTGTAGTTGTAAAGAACTATTACAGTTTGTTTTTTCTGTAGTTGTACAGAACTATTACAGTATGATTTTCACTCAGCTTTTTTTTGTAATTAAAAAACCGGCAATCGAACCAATGTACATATTTTTAGAACGGTTTTAGAAAATAAACCTTTGTGGTTATTTTTAAAGAGAACACTAATTCCGATAACTTAGGAAAGACTAAATTTTATGATCAAATTACAAAATATGTTTTAAGAATACTACACGAAAATCATACGTACCTGTTTATTTCATAATTGTGATGAATATTGTCCAAAGTTCTGCTTTTTCCGTTAACTTTTTCCGAGGCAAAACTCGGGAGAGGAAATTATGTTTTCGCGAAATGTCACATCCGCAGGTTAAATGTGAGAGAAAAATTTGATAAATGACGTCATGTTTTTTGTTTATATCCTTTGTGACACTTTGAGTGGGTAACCGGCTGGGACGCCAGATGACCAACAATAAATAATGGGGATGTTCGTTCCGACGAAATGTTTTCATGATAAACTGCAGTAGGCGAAATTTGTCTACATTTTTGTGGACGCTTAGTACGTCAAAGGAATGCCAGTTAAATTTTTAATTACTACTGCCTTGAATACGTTCCGACTTTTCAGTATGAAATACGTAATGGCGATGATGAGGGTCGACATGTCTCCTGAATTAAAAAGTACCTATAAAAAGTCCTATTTTTAACAGCCACGAATATACGAAATGTGGTGCAATATAATTTTATTTTACACCAGGAAGATTCTTTTGATATCCTTTATTATCAAACTGATTACCGTTGAACTGTTAACAACATTGATCGTGCATTTTCCGCTATGATTTTTTTTGAATTTTGCTGTCCCCCTACCCCCCTTAAACATCTCACGTAATTTATGGACGCCCCCTAACCAATTATGCTGCCGCGACCTTAGTGGCCGTGTCGAATTTCCTCTAGTATTTCTTAGGCTGCAAGGCAGCACCATCTTTTCGCACAACGGAAGATGTGGGTTCGAAATCTGTCTGAAAACTGGACAGAGTGGATTTTTTTCTAGTAAAATTTCCTTTAGATTTAAACGTCTACTAGCAATTAAATGTTTAAAAATATAATAACACTGATCGTGTTTTGTCACGTTTATTAAGTCCCATTATCGAACTTAACAAAC